AGAGTAGATCAAAAGCCCTAACAATGACCTAGAAAGGCCTGATCTGATCTGCCTCTGGGACCTCTGGGACCTCCTGCTCCCTCTGCTCCCGCCACACTGGCTTCCTGTGGTTCTGCAGGGTCTTGGTGCTCTGTATTCACCCTTCCCTCTTCCCACCATGAAAGTTTCCACCCCCAGGTACCTCCTGGGCTCAAGTCTCTAGTCTTTACTCTTCCTTCAGATCTGTACTCAGATGGCACCTTCCCAGTGAGGCCCTCCCTTGCCACCCTCTATTCCCTTCCCCGTTTCATTTTTCTCCCTAGCCATTACTGCCAGCCAACGTGCAATACATTTTGCTTATTTACCTTCGTTTATTGTTTGTCTCCTCCAAGAAGAATGAAAGTTTTTTTTTTTTTTTGGCTGGCCAGTTTGGGGAACTGAACCCGTGACCTTAGTGTTATAAGGCTGTGCTTTAACCAACTGAGCAATCGGCCAGCCCTTAAAAAGAATGAAAATTTTTAAGGGCAGGACTATTAGTTGGTTCACTGTTGTATTCCTGGCACCTGGAACAGTATCTGGCATATAGTAGGCGCTCAATAAATGTTTGTGGACTAATTGAAGGCAGAGTTATGAAGGACTATGCCAAACTAAGGCTTCTGGAGCTTATCTGGAAAGCAAAGGGAAGTCCTGGACATTTTTAACTAGGAGAGTGAGATAACTGGGTCTCTATTTCTGTGATATTCACTCAGTAGGTGACAATGACAAAATGGTAGTGGTGGAGGGAGGTGGGGAGAGACTGGGAGCAGAGAGGAAAAGGATTTGAGAGAGGTTTTGAAGGTGAAATGACAGGTTGAAATGCATAACTCTGATTTTATGGATCAATTCCAGAACACTGCTTTTACTTAAGTGTTTTTGTTTCTTATATACAACAATCCACCACTATAAAATCAGTTCTAGTTTTGATGCAAGGAATGGTTCTGAACCCCGGCTCACAACAAAGCAAGCTAGACTGCAATGCTGAGAATGCATTCAGGTCAGGCTGCTAGCAGAGAATTGATAAAACAGAGCTACACACCTTGGAAGCAACCTTCCTCGCCTGGTAAGGTGATGCGACTCCTTTTCACTACTTCTCTGTTAAACTCAGCGTCACATGTCAGTACTACTCCTTGGTGTCAAGGTTCTCGTTCAGACACTGTCCTCCTCTTCCTTTTAATCCATTCCTTTGACAAGGCTTGCTAACTCACCAACCAACCCAATGTTTTATTGTCTTCTCATTCCTTTTGCTCTTTATTTGGTCACACCTCACATACTCCATTCTAAGTCCCTTCTCTGATGCTCACTTCTGGACCTTCTTCCATGCTGGGCAAAAATGCCTGGAAAGCTTTTATAAAACCATTTATAGGTCACCTCCTCCTTCCCCACCTCCATCCTTACCTATCAGTAAAAGTACCTTTCCTGTGCATCAAGGTGACAGAAAGCCATTCTCAGGTTTGGAGAACTCAGAAAATGTACGGCCACCTACTGTTCTTGAAAAAGGAATTACTTGAAAATACACTCTGGCCAACTGAGAAATTATTACATCAAAATGTAGAATGGGGGGCCGGCCCCATGGCTCACTCGGGAGAGTGTGGCACTGGTAGTGATGAGGCGGTGGGTTCAAATCCTATATAGGGATTGCCAGCGTGCTCACTGGCTGAGCGTGGTGCTGACAACACCAAGCCAAGGGTTGCGATCCCCTCGGCACTGGTAGTGACGAGGCGGTGGGTTCAAATCCTATATAGGGATGGCCAGCGTGCTCACTGGCTGAGCGTGGTGCTGACAACACCAAGCCAAGGGTTGCGATCCCCTTACTGGTCAAAAAAAAAAAAAGTAGAATGGAAGTCATGGCGGATGGGGCCTGGGAGTCTGTCCTGGGGTGCCCACCCACAGGCACAAAGACTCAATGCAGAAGAGTATGAGAAGTGCCCCTCAGCACACACTGACTGACTTGGCCACACTGACAAACAGCGAGCATGTAGAAAAGAATGTCCTTCCTTTCACAGTGACATCTGGATGAAGCTTAATGAATCTGTTCCTTAGGAATTGTTGTCTTTCAGTAAAGTAACAATCCTATTATTGCAATCCCTCAGCAAAAGCTTTTCCCTCAAGAAGAGTTTTCTGTCAGATTCACAGTCCAATCCAATATGATTATATCTGTGTTAAAAAACAAAACCCAAGCAGCACCCATGGCTAGGAACAGGCCTGGGAACCATTTCCTGTGGCTCTCTATGGGGGAGGAGCAGCTCTGTCACTCCCTGCTGACATGGTGCCTCCCTGTGGCAGCACACGAGGCTCCCGATGACTGGCTCTCGACCACCTTTCCAGCCCATCTCCAGGCATTCACCTCGCATGGCCTCTTCTCCTCAGACTCATCCTTTGGCTCCTAGAACTGGCCCTGTCCTCCCAGGCCTCAGTGCCTTCCCACATGCCAGACTCAGACTGATTAGGAAGCTCTTCCTGCTCCCTTGACTGGAGGAAACCCCACTCGCCTTCCAAGGTTTGGTTCACTCGCCTTCCCCACACAGCCCCTTCTCCCCACTGCCCACAGAATCAGAGGCCATTACCAAAGCCTACTGCATACAGCAGTTGCTCACAGACATAACTGTGCACAATAAGCTGAACTTAGTTCTCATTTCAAACTCCTTTGCCATCCTCACCGGAGTCTGAGGGAAAGGCCCCTCTTAGTACCTGCTGTATGTAGATTCCTGAATCATGTGCCCTGACCCCATTATCAGAATTAAGATTTGGGGGGCCGGCCCGGTGGCGCACTGCTACAGTGCGCTGCTTGGGAAGTGCGGCGGCGCTCCCGCCGAGGGTTCGGATCCCACATACAGACTGGCCGCTCACTGGCTGAGCGAGGTGCGGGAGCAACACCGAGGGTTGCGATCCCGTTGCCGGTCCCGGTCCGGTCCGGGCGCGACACTGAGGGTTGCGATCCGTTGCCGGTCACGAAAAAAAGACAAAAAGGAAAAAAAAAAAAAAGAATTAAGATTTGGGACCCACAGTGGGTATATTCAAGTAATCCATTCCTTGAGGATGAATTCCTCCAATGATAAATAAAAAATAAGGCTGCTTCTCCCTGGCTTTGACGTGTAGTTTATCTATCTGACTGTAAGCTCCATGAGTGCAGGAACTAAATTAATTTATTTGCTAGTTGTTCTCTCTCCTGCACCTAGAACAGTGCCTAACTGGAGGTAGGCACTAATTAATGTGCGCTGAGAGTGTGAATGTCCTATTTGTATGATTTCCCAGCAAGAGCAAAATGCCTGGCACAGTTCACACTTAGTGAAGCTACGCTGAATGAATGAGTCTAAGTTGTAAGATGAAGCCATTTTCTTTATGCTAAAACCAAACCTGATGAAAAACTCCTTCAGAAATATACACCTGCCTTCCTTCTCTGAAGCCACCCCTTTGTCTTGGTTTCTATGTGCAACCCTGAGAAACAAAAACCAGCTTTGTGTTACTGTAAGGAGAGGCTTCACAGAAATGCAAAACAATATTAACCTTTCCCCCCCACTTGCATTTAACACACCAGGTGACTATAAACCTGGGGTGTGGGTGGGGGATCAGGAAGAAATTAGTTCAAAATTCAGACAGTAAAAAAAGAGGTTCCTTCGCAACTTCAAAATTGTGAGACATGCACATTTTCCCCCTTGAGAGGCAATTCGAAACCACCCGTGTTGTGCTCTAGCCCCTCCAGGGCAGCCCTTTCTTCTGGGCTGCTTGGCTATTCCCACAGCCTCTGCCCACTTACACATGCCTGGAGTGGAAGCCGCTGCAGCATCAATAAAACTGACTTACACCCGCATCTCTAACTGCCCGGTGCTGGCACTTCAGAGACTGGGAATTTGTCAATTACACCTCCATGCCAACCTGGCTGTCCTAGGAGTCCCAAGGCTATACCAACCCAGAAAGAGATCCTCTTTATGTGCACTTCTCTGTGCTCTCTGATGATGACCAGAAACAATCATAAAGAACGAACAAAGGGATTACAAATTAATCTGCCCTCACTGGCTCCTCTCACTGCAAAGATACAATTACAAACCCAGGATTTGCAAGAGACCTAAATTCCTCATTAATCTTTGCTATCGTTTCTATCACCGCTTCCCTGCCCCCCCCCCCTTCTTCTTAAGCTCCTTTCTTGGGCAGAGAATGAGGGGAAGCTATGTTCTTTCTTTCCTCAGCAGTAACTGAAAAATATGTCCTTAGCATTTCAAAAAGCAGATCGTCCCTGTGATATAACCACTAAAGCGTGGAGGTGAAATGGCACAAGTGTCCTTTACATCACCATCTGTCTAAATTAATGAATTTAAGCATGGACAACCTAAACCTGTGGTTTCTTTGGATAGCATGATTCTGATAGTACAGATAAATTCCAGGGTCTCAGAATCTCCAATTTCTTTACATTATACTTGGTTTTGTATAGCATATTTTGACTGTTCAGCAACAGGCAGTGGGTGGTCTCTACAGTGCATTTCACATGTTCCTCTCCTCTCTTTGGCCATCTGGAGCTGGGGCCTACAGAGAGAACAGGTCCTGGCATCTTCCTGCCAGGTTCACTCCATGGGTCAATGCTACAGTGTAATCAAAAAGCAGTGGGGGTTTTCTCCTCTTTCCCAGACATGTCTACAAACTCCATTTGGGCAGAAGCTCTGCCAGTGACATTTCTGCTTAGGAGCCACAAACACATACTCCTACCGAGGGAGGAGAGATTCCATGAACTGGGGGAACAGAAGCATTCACACCAGCTGCTAATTACCTTAAAGTTGGCACATACTTCATGGTGGCTGCTTGTCACCATATCGCAGCAGTGCCCAGGTCTGGTTTTCTCTGGCTAAGTACCTGTGTGTGTTCTTCAAACTCATGCTCAGCAGAAAGCCGAGGATGGGGCTTAGAAAGCAAACTGGGTAAGATTTCCCCAAATGGTCTCAAATGAGCATCCAATTAGAGGCCCATTTCTGCTATGTAGGTCTCGCTCTTACCTGGGTATGGCACTCTTCCTTTGGTGACCAGCTCTGTGAGTAAGATTCCAAAAGACCACACGTCAGACTTGATTGTGAACCTCCCATACAGGGCTGCTTCAGGGGCTGTCCACTTAATGGGGAACTTTGCACCTGCAGAACGAACACCTGGTTATTCATCAGGCAGAAAGCACTGCACTGGGTATGGGGTAGGGGAAGGAAGGGCACCTAGAAGCCACTTTCATGGGAACAGGTTTAGAGAGGACAGGAAGGAGGTGAAACAGGAATGGACTGGGATTGAGAGGGTGTGGGTCTGGTCCTGGTTGCGGGACCTTAAGCAAGCCAGTTTAATTTTTTTTTTTTTTTCCTTTTTGTCTTTTTCCGTGTCCGGCAACGGATCGCAACCCTCAGTGTCGCCCCCGTACTGGACCGGGACCAGCAACGGGATCGCAACCCTCGGCATTGCTCCCGCGCCTCGCTCAGCCAGTGAGTGGGAACCGGTCTGTATGTGGGATCCGAACCCTCGGCGGGAGCGCCGCCGCGCCTCCCAAGCGGCGCACTACAGCAGTGCGCCACCGGGCCGGCCCAAGCCAGTTTAATTTTAATTTTCCCATCAAAGGGTTGGATTTCAAAGCATCTTAAAACCTCAATAAAGGGGAAGAAAAAGCCTTGGTTTCTTGAACCTATAACCATGCTGAGTGTCCTAGGTTTGGTTTGGAGGTGGGTCTAAATTACAATTTAGAAAACTGATTTATATATTTTTCTTTCACTTTGAAATAATGCTATATTTTAATAAATACATATAGCATTAAATCATAATGCTACTCTCACGAATCTTCGTGTACATAAGACCACCTCTTTCTTCCCTCTACCCTTTCTCCATATAGCGGCCATCTGTACTCCTGGGTTAGTTTTTCCTTCTATACCATATGATCACTTTCTTACCTCCCTACCTTCTCCTACCAGCCCAAGAGGGTACTACTCAAGGTTTGTTTTTTAAAGAGCAGTCTTGCCTCGATGACTGTCTTATGAATCTCTGACTTTGCAAGACCAAGGAGCAAATTCATGCCAAAGTCAGTAGAGTCTTTTCTTTCAAATTTCTCTGATCATTAAAAGGATCCTCCTTCCAAACCAAAAGGAAGGGTGGGCTCCACCTGTGCTTTACAATGCTAGATGTGTGTACAGGGAATTAAAATGGATTCAGCAGTCTGTGCTCTCAAACATTAGGCTCAGCAATTATAAAGCAATTCTAGATATTTCACTGAACAAACTAAAAGAAAAGCACAAGGAATTTTTTATTACTGATGTAAACACAATTATATGTTTAAAGCATGTTAATTCTGCTTAGGAGCCCTACAAAAATCATACAAAAGCTGACAAAGTAAGAATGTTTCATAGTATCTTTTATGAAAAGTCACGATGTGCAAAAGTGGCAAATGAGGGCCGGCCCGGTGGCGCACTGGATAGTGCGCCGCTTGGGAAGCGCGGCGGCGCTCCCGTCCGAGGGTTCGGATCCCACGTGCAGACCGGCTCCCGCTCACTGGCTGAGTGAGGCGCGGGAGCAACACCGAGGGCTGCAATCCCGGTGCCGGGCCCCCGCCCGGGCCCG